CCTATATATAAACAATATGTATATTAGTATATACATGATATAGGTCCCTGTGAGCACAAACCGAAAAGGCTTTTTTTTTTAAATGCAGACTTACCATAATTCAGGTCAATGCTGGACAATGAAACCAATGTTCTTATTTAACATGTCAATTTAATCAATAATTTTTCATCATTGTAAGTAAATAATTCAGTAAAGCCTTTTTTTAAATAGAAGAATTATCAATACATGTACACAAATGACCAAATTTTTACATCTTGGGTGTTGGCAAGTATGGTCCTAATACTCTCTTACCGGGGTACTGACTAGTGACTACACATTAAAACCTGTTCTCAAGCTGTTCAGTTGGACCATATGAATTGAATGCTTTTATTTTATAAATGCTGAAATCGGGGTATTTTATCTAGATATACATGTACAACTAAGCTATATAATTATTTCACGGTATCACTGCCATATCTAAAGCGCGGTGCCATTGTGGCCCTTCAGGCCTTTGATTTTATTAAACATATGGAGTTAACGAACAGTATTCAAGATCAATAGTCCATAAAACAATACAAAATAGGAGCAGAGCAAACACGGACCTCCAAAACATCAGAGGTGGAATCAGGTGCCATGTTATGATTTTTATTCCTTGTTTTGTCGCTTGTGTGCTGACTCACTTTTCTAAGTTTCACAGTTTCTAAGGATATGTAGTTACAGTTTGTATTAAAAACATCAGTAAACATTCGATTTAATTTGTATATACTGGCAAGATCATGTCTATCATAGAATCTGAAAGAAATGTTGATTTTAAAGGAGACTATTGGTATCTTTTTACATCAACTTATTTGACAAAAGGTTTTGTCATTTCACAAATTGTATATAGTTCGAACAAGCTCTTATTTATATCAGCTAGGAGACACAAACTCCAATGTTGTATTGTTCAACAGACTTCTGAGCTTGAAAACTGTTATTTCCATATATTTCATGGAGATGATGATTGTATATAATTACAAAAATAAGGGAAGTTGATGACGGAAAAGTACTAAAAATAGCTATCATATAAGCAGAATTTTCAGTAAGGAATCAAGTTTGTTATTATTAACAAGGGCGTTGAAATCGCCAAAACTAGACATCCCTAACAATTAATCCAGCACTGCGGAGGTAAGGCAACGATGCAGGATATTGTAAAATCACTAAAATGAATTGAAATATATGAAATTAACGAAAAGTATTTTAGTCAAAAGTCCATTAAACATTACAAAATAGGAGCAAAGCAAACACGGACCTCCAAAACATCAGAGGAGGGATCAGGTGCCATGGAAGTGTGAGCATCCCATGCCGACCGGTCACACCCACTCCTTGTCATGTTCTGAAAAAAAAACCATGGAAAAATCCGTGGACAACTCAGTGTGTAAATAGTGGCCTAGCAATTGGCATATGAAAAAAATGTGAATCCATTTGCTAAATGATACTAGTAAATTGTATTTGCTGACAAGATGATAATATTATTGTATATCCACCAGAGAACCTATGAAATGATGACTTTAAACGAAACCGATGACATTTTTTTTCTTCAACTTGTTTGTCAATAACTTACCTCGTTTTAGAAACTGTTAATACGTAGAACATGCTCCTCCGTATCGAATCAACTAAGAGATATAAACTCCATATGCAGGTGACAATCTTAAGGTATAGATGCATAAGTAAGGGAAGTTAACGATTAATAAGTGAAAATCATCATCATGTTTATCATTAAGTTTTTTTTGTTAGATAAGCATTGACGTCTTTTTCTAGTAAAATATCCAAATATGAAACAGAAGTGTCAGACTCTGTGGTATCTTTTATCTCCAGTTCACCGGGATATATCGTATCGACACACAAGAATGAAAGTAACCATGCAATGTTAATTAATTGACAATACGTCGTCGATATATCTAAATGTCGAGTTGAAGGCCACAGCGAGTGTTTTTTCTTTACACGTACAAGATTTTGAACAAGTTCCGCTTCATATGAATACCAAAAAGATAAAAAAAAGCTAATAGCAGGGTGCAGTTGGTATCAATGGGAATTCCAGTAGATTGTTGGAAGACCTGGTACTAAAAACCACATAAATATTGTCAGTCAGAAATTCAAGCATCTTTTTTATATCAATTTCAGAGTACTTTTGTGTACATTCAGAATGATTTTTAACAAAGTAATACTGCAAATGACCATGGACAAGGTAAGTTAATTTACGAGTTTCATTTTTATTGAAAACTCAACTGTCATTTATTTCCATCTTCCCAAGTCAAGAGTTTCTGATCCACTCCGCTCCACATAAACCCTTGACCGAATAGGCTAAGTTTGATGGGGTTTACTGTCATGCCATCTAGTGAGAATACATATATTGAACTCTACTGACCTCTGCTATTGGCCAATCAGAGTAAACGTCATACATGCCAACTTTTGAAAATTCCCATGGGGGATTTAGCGCGTGACGACAATTTTCAAAGCTTTAAATTCACGACATTTTGTCGTGAAATTAAATGATTATGAAATGATTTTTTTTTTTAATTTATAATATTGATATTACTTATCAATACAACTTAAGAATTAATTTAACACAAAAAATAATGTTTTTCTTTCCAAAATTGAAATATTTCTGCTAAAGTAGGTGCCTCTTTCACTGAAGAAGGGGTATTTAGTTACATATGTAAACAACATTTTTTTCTACCAGAACACATAATTTAGTGAAAAATTGAAAATTTTACAACTTTTAAATCATTTTTTCAAAGGCTAAAAAATATGAAGTTTTGATACTGTAAAGTCTTGTTTCTGGAAACATTTTTGAGATTTTTTTTATATATATTAGAAATTCTAATTAAATATTAAATTTACAGAAATTTATACCACCTATATAAAAGAAAATTACTTTTTTTTTACAGTCATGAAATTTGTCAGGCTTGATGGTGCCATGTGGGTATTTCCTTAAGTCATGCACATTACTTCTGGGAGAAGGGAGGGAAAAGAAATTGTAACTGAAATACACTTGATTGTTTCATCTTAATTTTTTCATGATATTTTAATTGGCAACTTAGAAATAGTTTTCATTATAGGTAGATAAAATCATCAGTTATGCTTTGTAGTTTTCTACTTTCGTTTTCAAAAAACGATCTCTTTGGATTCCGATTTTATGGTTTGATTAGTATTTTATTGTCTTTAATTTATGTTTTTAATAAATGACTAACAGTTATCACGTTAATCTATGTGTTTCACCTTGCATACCCCTTAAAACTGACAAGATAATACCCTAATTGCCCCAAGCTATAAGCTACTCGTACCTGGACAACTGCGTGCGTTCATGCGTGAAGTGATTTCCTGTGGCTAATTAGTAATTAACATCTGGTTAAATAAACAATGAAACTTATCTGTGTGCATTGAGTATACAAGTCTGACATTGTTATCCCGATTGTCAAAATTCACGGTAGGGAAACTTTTAAAATCTGAAATTTTAAGGTGATTTTTTTTTCAAATCGGGAAATTAGGGCAATTTTTCTCTCCCGATCGGGAAGGCGGGATGAAAGGGTAAAATCGGGAGGATCCCGCCTAAATCGGAAAAGTTGGCATGTATGAAACGAATTCAACAGAGAATACAAGATAATACTGGAAGTTGTTAATAAATTCAATATAATTCAACAAAAAAGCTGAGACAAAGCCTTTAACTGGGCTATTCAATGATAAAGACGTTATCCTTGGGACTAAAACTGGCTTGTTTTTCTGTTTACAATTTAGTTTAAGTTTAAATAAAACAATGATTTTGACTGGTTCATGCAGACTTGCATGAGGCCAATCACAGAACGCATTTCTAACCCCGTCAAACTTAGTCTATTCGGTCAATGGTTTATGTGGAGCGGAGCGGATCAGAAACTCTTGACTTGGGAAGATGATTTATTTCAGAAAGCCTGGACTTTAATTTCTCGTGGGTGAAAAGTTATACATAAAGATGAAAAGTCGTATTTTTTAAGCTATTGATTTTGGAAAAATCTTGTGATTTTAAATTGTCCAAAAGTTCTTTGGAATTTTTGAGTATCCACATCTGATTACACCACTTCCCGAATATATTGTTGCACAGTACTCTTTTTCTCATTCACTACTGTTAAGGACAGATGATACAAACAAACATTGAATGCCTGGATTGGTATATATTTTGTGGTCTAATTTCATTGAAAATGATGCAAATAATATATTTCTAGAGTATAAAGAAATTGGAAACCTACTATGATGTTCAAAAGTCAGCCTCTCTGAAACCATCCTTATTAATCTATACAAATATTTTTCACTTCAAATCATATTTTTGTGAAAATTTGACTAAAAGTTTAAAAACTACGCGGTGAAACTTGTTCATTTTATTCATTAGAACATGAGTCAAGTCGTTATTTTCAAATTATTTGACAAAAGTTTGTATCATCTGTCCTTAATGTCTTAGTGAGGAGTAAAGAAAGAGGCTTGGTTGAACATTTACTGGATCCCGCTATGTATCTTTGTTTGTAAGGATTTCAATGAAGTTTCGAAACCCAATATAGATATGGTCATTCAAATCCATTTTGGTTGTTTGGAATATTAAAAATATTCAAAACTGACATATGATTTTGAGGGTCTCAGGTTCCACGCAACAAAGGAAAGCTAATGATAAATTTCAGCAACCTTACTGAAAAGAAAATGACCACTTCCTGCGTGTACTGACCGTGTTAGCAAATACAACTTCTCATTGGATCTTACTTTGACTGAGATGATAGGCCTTTGATTTAATATTAAATTTGTATACAAAAATCACTCCGTTTATCTTGTAAATCATAGGGCTTACAGCGCGTGAGAGCGTTCGACAGGGGATACTTATTCCTTCTAGGCACCTCTGGATTTTTTTAGTCCTGTTCACAGAATTTGTATTCTTTATAGTTTTATTTAGACAATTCATGTTCTTATCTAAACCAGTTTTAAGTATTAACTTGAAATAAAAAAAAATAATATATGCACTGTATTGTACAGGGTCTGTATTTTAATTCCTTGATTGATAAAATATGACAATTAAATATATAAATAAAAAACTTAAGTACATGTACTTTAACATCGAACATACAATTTTAAATTTACAGTTCAGTTACCAATATTAAAATAGAGTATCTAATAATATTTACAAAATTACACAGTTCCAGTTTAGCAGCCACGGATTCTGATGTAGCGCTCCAGGCGCCGGAGATATCGACCCCAGAAACGTAAATTAGAATCCACGGCGTACTCAGTCCTGATGTAATCCTTAAAAAAAGCTGTCTCTCCCTGTAGGTAATACCGGTATCTAGGAAAAAAAGTAAAACCGATTTCTAGGGAAAAGGTAAAACCGATATCTAGAATAAAAGGTAAAACCGATACATGTATCTAGAATAAAATGTAAAACCGATATCTAGAATAAAAGGTAAAACCGATATCTAGAATAAAAGTAAAACCGATATCTAGAATAAAAGGTAAAATTAATACTAGTATCTAAAATAAAGATAAAACCAATATCTGGGATATGTTTATAATGATTTATAATATACTAGCCCTCAGTAACTTATTTCTGAGATAGAATATTACAGTTGTTAAGATAACCTTTTATGCCCCCTCTCGTCTGTGTACACGATGCTCTTTTTGCCGTAGACGAAGTAATGATGATCCACCTCTAAATCTGTTTCACATCGGAGGTTGACCCAAAACTCTATCTCATCATTCCGTTGTATGTTACCCTCGCCTGTTCCAATGACAGGTTAATTCTAACTTATATACCTCATAATTCAATGAATTATAAAACAAACAAATCAAAAATTTATAATGCAACCAATTTCCTAGAATTCTATCTTCCAGGAAGCAAATTGTTCTCTGTTAGACATACCTGGTTTGATGACAGATTTGACACTGGAGGAGAAAACCAGATGATTCCCAGACACGATAACATTGGTCACCTCTATCCTAATCACTATAAATAAGATGAGAAAAAATTATAAAGTAAGACTTTCTCATGAACTTTTCAATCCACAGAACTCTGATGAAATCAGTTACAGATCTATTACAGACCGTAGTCGTACAGGTTACACGTTCTCTGGTATAGCTGGGATCGGGAGATCTGTTTGTACTGTAGTTTGGCGTCCCAAGATTCCGCACACGAATCTGAAAAGGGTGATCAAGATTTGTTATATGATGTTATGATAATTTATTGTACTCACTGGGTAGCTAAATCATGGTATTAACCTCAAAACAGAGTTATATGGTATTTAATTACCTTCGATACACGTGCAATTACCCCGACTGCAGAAAATATCTAGATCCGCCACTTCGTATATTAGACTGTAAAATTTCATACATCTCTCCTCTATTATGAAAAAACAAGACAGTTTAAATGAACTTTCAAACTTGTATATTATTTAAAAAAAATAAACAACAAGGTTGTTTACCCTCTTGATAGTAGTCGTATATTTCTATTTTTGCAGACTGGAGGTTTTCGACGTCGAATTCTCGGACCATGCGGAACTGAAAACACAGATCGTCTAGGCTGGGTATCTACAATAAATTTTTTTTTTAGAAAATTCACATTTTTAGCAAATGTTCAAAACATTTTTCTGATGATGCTTTTGAAACAATACGGGGCTTTTAAAAGTCTCTAAATTCAGCAACACCCAGACTTACTCTTTTAAGATAATGAAACATATATAGATAACAAACAAATAAAAAATCCATTAAACAATTCCAAAGAAAGGAGCAGATCAAACACGGACCTCCAAAACATCGGAGGTGGGATCAGGTGCCATGGAGGAGTGAGCATCCCCTGCCGACCGGTCACATCCGCGGTGTGCTCCCATTAGAAGAATTATTATGGCGCAAGTAGAAGAATTATTAAACAATTGCTAATCAATTTTTAAAAAGCAGAACTTCACAATAACGTTTGAAAATGAACATACATTATCCAGGTAGAGTGTAACAGATCTCTTTGATACTTCGTAGTTGTCTGCAACTCCGCTAGATTTTAACTAAAATGAAAAGCATCGTGAAACTAATTAAAAGCGACAAACGAACAAGGGCTTCATAAGAATTCCAGTTACAACGAACTTATGATAGAAATACCTTCTGGAGGTCGCTTTCTATGACCCGGAATCCCGTAGGTAGTCCAATATCCACCACCGGCATATCTAGCCTCCGGTATCCAAGGTAACTGTTTTTAAAAAAGTCAAAAATTTGAATTGAATTTACATGGAATTGTTATTTCCCTTAAAAATACTCAAGAAGTTAGTTACCAACCTGGAAGAACGAATTACTAGCAATGCGCAAAAGCGGCGATTTTCTTACAATTTTGTAAAAAAAATATTGTTTCTAGATGAATATGGAATTTTTTTTGTTTCTAATCTTATTTAATGAAATATTCACATAAATACACTCATTACATAAATTTTTATTTTAGATGCAAAACATTCGTTGAAATGTATATACATGTATTTCAAATTCTGCTAGTAG